AAAGAGCTCTCTCCCGCTGATGACCACCGGACATGCTTCATAACCATTGGATGCTACTAAAACACCACTGCCAGTGTTGATATTCCAGCCCGTAGTCAGAGGAGTTATAGGAAGAGAATGAGTACTCGCAAATCGATGAGACAAGAAACAAAAGGAAGCTCCAGAGTCAAAGAGTGATAAAGCAGGAACGGAAGAAACAAGAACCTTGCCTATTACAGGAGAAGATAATTGCAACTAAACTTAGCACCCATAAACAAATTCTATTATGATATCATCAGGTAATGCTAAATAAGGAAAAATTCATATGCAAGGAAAACTAAGAATGAACAGTTCTTACCGGTGATAACTTGGTCATTCGTCTCAGCTTCCACAGCTGACATCATGAAGGTCTGGCGCGGAGGTTGCTGCCTCTGCGCCTGCTGATAAACCTGCTTCTGAGAGGGAAGAGGCCCCGCACGAGGATAGGGTCCTTGCTGATCTGGTGTTGCTGGAGCAGGTCGAGGTGGAGCTGGAAGAGCTGCCCGAACTGGAGGTGGGGGCAATCGGCCCTACTACCACTATGGACAGTCCTGACTAATATGGTCGGGGGATCCACAGGTGAAGCACAAGTGTATGTCCGGGGTATCTACAATAGGAACACCGCACCAATGGCTGGTTGTGAGTCTGCACTCCAGGGTGCTGATAGGGATGCCCCTGAGGAAGGGGTTGCCGCTGGGAAAACTGTCGTTTCTGCGGAGCCTGCTGCTGCCTCGGAGGAGGACGCTCGATATTCCGGGCTGGAGCTGCTGGTACTCTGCTCTGAATCATATGTGGATCCTCAGGCTCCTTTTGAACACTCTCGATCTCACGCACTGCATCCAGAACAGCGTCATGAGTCGCGAGGGCCCTACCAGCCATAGCCAATCTGATGTACTTGTCCAGACCCTTCTGGAACTGATGCCTCCTAATAGTGGGATCTGTAACCAAGTGGGGAGCATATCGACTGAGGGAAGAGAACTCGGCCTCATAATCGTCGACTGATCGACCTCCCTGCTTGAGCTCGACAAATCTACGCAAAAGCTCGTCCCGGGCTGACTGAGGGAAATACTTCCTATTGAAGCGATCTGTGAACGTTTCCCACAGAATCAGCCTCTCCAGGTGTGTCTTCTCAGCAGCCCACCAGATTCGAGCCGTATCAGTAAGCTGGACATCCATAAGGTCCACCCACTCTGCAGGGGCAATGCGGGTCACCGTAAGGATAGTCTCGGTAACCTTCAGGAACTCTTCTGCTGCTAGAGGTCCTTCGGAACCGGAGAAAGGAGGTCGCATATACCGGAACTCTCTAACACCAAGCTCTGTACGAGGGGGAGGCTGGTGAGGCTCCCGCTGCAAGTGCCCAGCTAGATGCTGCTGATTCGTCGCCAGTCCCTGAATCATTGCCAAAAGTTAGTGCGGGTCCACTTCGGGCGGAGGGACATTACTACTGGACGGGTTACCATTGCTACGTGTACCCACCATGGTTCTGAAGGGAAGACAACGAGGATCAAAATTATTGAGGAAAAATCAAGTCAAGATCAAAATCAAAATTGGGTAAGGTAGGGATGGAAACAAGATTGGTCAAGATACTAGGATAAGGGCTAAGTATAGTCTTACGGATAAAATATGATATGCGTCTAAATTATCCATTATATTCTCATTGGTGTGAACTCGGGACCGTGACTCAGGACCGTGACCTGCATGGGCCACCACTAAAACCTGTCACGCTCCGCTTCCCAAAATACCAGGGAATCGGGACGCGAGTAAGCCCGCGACGTATTAGACTGAGGAGAGATAAGCGCTAGACCCCGTCTTCTCAATCTAATACGCTAAGCGTCAAGAAATACAAACGAAGGCACAGGTCGCCGATCACAGTAGCGAGAATATAATAAACAACACAGACAGAAAATATACATATCACAACTGAAATATCATCCGAGACACAAAGTTTGGGTCAAACATGCCCTTATTACAAAACAGTTCAACTAGAATAAGAAAATACATAGTCTGACAAAATAAGAAGATAGTACTGCAAATTAACTAAGCCCGTCGAAAGACTAAAGGATAAGGTACTACATAAGTAATCTAGTGTCCATCAGTGATTACGTAAAAGAAAAGGCTAACTCCGAACTGAAGCTGTCCATCATCTAAATCTGACGTACACCAGAGGAAACAGGTGTACGTCAGCGTGTATGGCACACTGTAAGATCCCAAAAGGAAGAATAGAACGGTCGTGCGACCAATGCAATAATGGTAATAACAATGGAAACATGCAACTGAAATACTAATAATCTAAATATAATTTACTACTAGAATAGAATAATCATAATAAATCCAAGAAAATCAACCAAGTAACAAGTCGATCATGCAGCTAGCGATCAGAATAATCATCCAAGTACAGGGTCATACACTAGCTGGAATTAATACTTAAAGATCTACAACTCGAGACGTAGTATGTCGAGCGAAATAATCCAAACAAAGAAACCATCATGTATATACCAGTCTCAAATTATAAATAATTAAATATTAATCCTGATCTATGTATGAAAAGAAATATAACTGGTCTATATCTCATAAGAATCCATAATCGTCCAAGTAACAAGTCACGTAACTAGTCATCCTATAACAAGTCACTGGTACACATCTCACACAGAGTCAATATTCATATTCTCGGATATATGACTGTTACACAAATCCCCTACGTGCTTCCAATAGGACTCCACGCAAACCGATTCGGCCTGGTTCGAACTCCAGCCGACTCGGGTGAATATCACATTCACGAACCAAAGTGACGCAACAAACCTTCGCTGTGGTCCATCAAACCAACCCCAGTTCAAAACAAACCTAACTGGTGTGAGTCTGGAAGATAAATCAACAACCATATCCGATCACATGAACTATGACTTTCCCCATCCCAACTCTTTTGTTTATCTAGGTCAACATACATACAGGTTTCTAAGTCTTAAATAGGACACACCAGGCTACACTGGTCATGAATTTCTAACGGTTCTCAAACATGACAAAGAGTAATATATGCAACTAATCATATATAACAATATCATAGCATATCACATAATTAAAATTAAGAAACATAAATCATGAAATATCATAGCATATCACATAATTAAAATTAAGAAACATAAATCATGAATAATTCATAATAATCTCTTTTCTAAAATAAATCCTTTAAAATTATTTCATAAATCATGAATAATTCATAATAATCTCTTTTCTAAAATAAATCCTTTAAAATTATTTATAAATGTTCTAAATTAATTCCTTTCATTAAATAAAACTCTCTTAAATTATTAAAATTATTCTAAATTGATACTTATTCTAAAATAAATTCTTTTAATTTTTTTATAATTATTCTAAAATAATTCTTTTGTCAAATAAATTCTATTAATTTATTATAATTACTCTAAAATGATTTTCACCAAAATAATTTATTATAATTATTCTAAAATGATTATTTTGTCAAATAAATTCTATAAAATTATAAATTAATTTGAAATAATTTTATTTTATCTTTACGACATCTATTATCCCAGTATTATTTTTAGTACTTTTTAATATCATTCGTTAAATAAATCCGTGTAGGTCATCACAGTATATGTATTACAACGTGAATAGTCATACGTTATTGTCCACAGTCCATTACGTTCACGACAGTTCTACAATTGTAACGGTCACACGTTATAGTTCTCAGTTCAATATGTTCACGACAGTTCTATATTTGTAACGAATAATTGTTCGAGAAACGAGATCTTATGCATAATTAATCTATGATCAATCTAAAATTGTACTGATCAAGAATAGGGATCTTACCTTGGGGTTATTGTCGAATGAATCGACGTTACCGTGCGAGGCGGCGGTCGTCGTTACAGAGGAAGTGACGGTGGCTGATTGTTGGAACTGGACGGTGGCGTCGAACGGGGCTAAGGAGGAGAGTGGCCGGGGTTTGGTAGAGTTGAAAACAGAAAGAGGAGGAGTTGGTTGAATGAAAGGTGACGAGGGGGCAGGGACTTGGCCGAGTGGCCGTGGGTTTCGAGATCGGCCGACGGCGGCGCTGACCGGCCGGCGGTGGAAGAGGAGCAGCAAGTGCGGCTGGGGGAGCAAGGCTGAACCTGCAGAGGCAGCGAGAGAGCAGAGCGGAGAGTTGGGCGTTGTTTGGTGCTAGCTGGGATGGAGGCAGCGTCGTCTGGTGGAGCGGCAGTTGAACGACAGAAGGGAAGCGGACGAGCTCGGAGGGGCGTGGCTAAGGTCGGCAGGACGGAGGAAGGAGGCGCGGGAGCAAACCTCCGGGTTGGTGGAAGTTGAGCTGAGAGAGAGAGATAGAGAGAGAGAGAGAGAGACTGTGAGCACGAGAAAGGGTTGGGTGAGGGTTTAAATAAATAAATTTTAATAATAAAAAATTTAAGATATGATTGATTAGAAAATCATGAGCTGCTTAGTCTAAGTTTACGGTGCGCGTGATTCATGAACAGCGCAGAGGATAGAGGTTACTGACGTGGATGGGGTTTATCTCCTATTGTATTATTTATTTATTTATTAATTTTAACAAAAATAATTAAAAGTTACAAAATGAATAACAAGAGTTAATTAATGATAACTTAATTTATAATTAGCTAAATAAATATAAATTTGGATTTTTAAATCATAAAACTTTAACAATTATTCAAAGTTTTTTTTTCCTTTTTTTCTTTTTTTATTGATAAAGTATTTAATTTATAGTTAACAAAACTATTAAAATAATTATAAAATCAGATTTTTAAATTATAGAAAATTTTGGAAAATCAGGTAATTTATTACTACTCTTTTAAAAATAAAATTTAATATTTAAAATACCAGAAAATTTATTTGAGTCAAGATCGAAAAATTTCGGTTATTACATTCTACCCCCCTTAAAATAAATTTCATCCTCGGAATTAAAATGAGAGTGATGCGGAAAGATCTCAAGGATTGTATAGAACGAGATACAACTGTTGTAATTAATATCCTCAACCTTGATTGAAACTGCTATGGTCACAAAAAGATTAGTCTATAAAAAAAATTACAAATACACGTACGAGCTTAGTATATTACCTAATATGTCACAGTCGTGACGCGGAGTGAAACACCAGTTCAGCAGAAACTGAGGCATCTAAACAGATATGATCACTAGCAAATAGCACAGGATAGAGCGTTTTAGGTGTAAACTTTAGCCGATCAGATAACATCCTGAATAACAAAAAAGAAAGGTCTGACATAATCATAATATGAACCATGTTTAAAGGAACACTTAGCAAACTTGAGGAGGAAGTATCAGAAAGTTTAGGATAATTCATTGACATGTGCATAATAGTTGAATCACTTACAAAAGACGTGCTCCACATTACATATTCCTTGCATCCTTTGGGCTTTAGCATAGCACTGGATGACAAGAAATAGTCAGTTCCGGCAGAAAATATGTATGACACCAAAGAAACTACAGCTGGAGAATATAAAGACAAATTTATGTATATAAAATAGAGGGAAAAAAAAGAATAATAGGAGAACATACCGAAAGGCAGTCACTAGACTCAGAAAAGTCACAAGCAAGATATGTAGGATAAATAGAGTACTAAGGTAGAAAGAAAGACGGGTATAAGAAGACTGAAGAAAAGAGACAAAAAATTCAAGAATTTAAGGTCATCAAGAAATGCACCACAAAACAATCTCCTATTTGCAAAAGAGAATATATCAAGAGAAGATTAACGATCATATGAATCCCATAAGTTGCGCATTCCTTGTACTACCGAGTGCAAATTTGTCAGATATGAATCATATAGGCTATGTAATCTTGATAAAAATGAGTGCACAACAACTAATCTATGTTACCATGATAGCTGGATTATCAAATTGATCCTTAACTTCATGAGTTGATCATAGGAAGACCAGAGCCTTAATTATTCCCTGTTTCTTGCTCATTCGCCTCAAAAGAAGAGAAAAAAATAATCTATTTCGTTCCAAGTTAGTCCACAAATTTACATTCTCAGATTAAGCAATCATTTTAGCAGCAGAAATAAAAACTCACGAGATAGATGGATAAGGTCTTTTGAATCTCAAACATCTCACAGGTATACTTGGGGAGTGAATGGATGTTTGATGGTAAGGCAAAGACATCCCTCAGCTTGGAGAGAAGGTCTTCAGTGACCTATTCCCATAAAGATTCGATGACATTGATCACAATGATCGATATGTGAATCAGAATGCGGCTTTCTTTAATATAAGCTAATAAACTCGAAGGCCTGCAAAATGAAAAATTTTATAACTAAGATAAGCCCGATACCGTGCAAACTGAAAATTTTATAACTAAGATCAACCCAACCCAACTGCAAACTGCAAACTTTAAGACCCTAAAGACTGGTAGTGATGATGATAGTAGCTAGTGACGGGTTGAGGGTACGGATTCAATGTGTGGTAAAAATAGACGACTTGGTTTCTGTACTGGTTGATTGGGTCATGCTTCTAGGCTCCGGTTCAGGTTCAGGTTTAGGCGACCTTTCTATGTTGGTGCTTTGATTTCCTCTTCAGGTTCAGGTTCTGGGATTGCGTTAACAGCTTTGGCAACAGCTGTAATTCTCCTCTCGCCACCAACGCAGCTGCTGCGATATATCTTGCATAGAACATAATTGTCCAACTGCATTCAACACGTGCACAAGTTCGTCGAAAGATGATTACACAGAAAGCTATAGGTACATGGGTAAATACAAAATAATATGAAATATTCTCAACAAGTTTCTTCAGTAAGAATCAAGAAATTCAACAAAAGGCATGCATCATGGATATAACTGATTGAAGAAGATGGATGAATATATATCGACTAAATAAGCTGAGGTATCAAGTGAAAGAGTCAGCATGAGATGTTAATTATAACCAAAAATAATAATCTTATTTGTAAAATGAGATGCTCATGATCATCTGAAACAGACTCTTGTTCAAACCAATTGAGAATAAAGACAAACTAGAAAAAAAACCTGATCAAAGATAAAGATGGTCAATAAAGAGAGACGCAAATCAGAAATTGATCAACAAGCATGCATGCCATTTCTGCATCATATAAAAGAGAGAACATAATATCTGTATGTGCCATTTCTGCATCATATAAAAGAACTGATGCAAAAAACTAAACTAAGTGACATGAAGAAAGCAGAAACGCAATGTAGGAAGAAAATGAAATCCTAACGAAGAGACCAGAAGCTTATCATTAACTCTGACGTCATCCGTGGATCAAGCTTCTCAACATTAATCAAACTATTACAATTTCCATTGTAATGCTATTATTACTAGCACTACTATCATTATTTTCATTGTTTTCTTGGAAGGAAGCACGACTGTGTCTTAGGAAAAGAGAAATGAAAGTATTTCTTTTTACGATTCTACCAAGGAGAACTTTGGCGACTTTGATGAAGATAACTATAAGCAATTATGATAGACTGATGTTTGCTTTTACGCAATAATGTTTGTCGAGCGCATTACAAAGATAAAGGACGTCCTAATTTGATGCATGAACCCGCTAGATCATTATTTGCAAGATCTAAGAGTTGACACAAATCAAGTTTCAAGAACTATTGAGAGATACTACGGTTGAAAACATGGTGAGAGGACCAGAATCCCAATGATGAAAATTACTTACCCAAACATGGAGGAATATTTCAATGGAATCTATTATCCACGAGGTCCAGAATGAGAAGTTTCCTTGCAGTTTCTCAGTGACGAAGGGACTTCTCCAATAAAACCCTTATACATAGCAGGGATTGCAGAGGAGTCATCAAACCAACTGAACATGAATCTCACCATGAATTGGAATCTTGTAGGTTAGGTTGCCCGAGAGTTAAGAAAGATCAAGGGCATGCTGGTGAGCATGATGATTTTGAAGATGAGTTCCAAATACAGAGATCAAGGGCATGCTGGTGAGCATGATGATTTTGAAGATGAGTTCCAAATACAGAGTGTCGAGCAAGAACTGCATCATCAGAAAGTTGATCTCACCTCAGTAAAATTCATTAGAAACCAATGTAATTCCTAAATCTGTACTTTCCAATATATATCAACATTAAATGAGGGATGAGAAACCTTTTGCAAGAAAATGGTGAATAAACACAACAATGGCAGCCTCACGACCCTGTTATCTCATCAATCATCATTTACTGGCACCAGAAGGATAAATTTGCACCCAGTGTTCTAATTTTAATACTAGCCCTTGGTCCTCCCCATCAATAAATTTTACTTAATGTGTATTATGCTCTAAATTTTGCAGTGGCTGGTAGGGCTTTTGAAGGAGAAATAGAGATGGAGAGAAATCTGGAATAGAGGATAGAGTGGACAAATGGAAAGCAAGACATGAAAAAAAATGACTGATCAACAAAGGCAATGAAGAATGATGATCAGTAATATCTATGAAAAAACATATGTTTAATCCATTTACAAATAAACACATCTTTAATCCATTTATGAATAAACACATGTTTAATCCATGTATGAATAAACACACATGACATACAAATGACATCTATAAACCAGGCAGTGACAAAATTTTACCTTTGAATTATTTTCGCAGCATGGCCGAGGCACGCAGCCCCTATGACGACAGGTGCCAATCACCTCAAGCAAGATCAATCCATACCGCATCATTATAGTCCTCAGGCTTGTCATCCTCATCTTCATTTTTTGGTTTTTATCATGCCTCCAGCAAAATATGCCTATCCCGTTTGGTTCACCTTAGTTATATGTTGGATTTTGTTCACTGGTTCACCCAAAATGGTTTCCCATCACTCGTGAAGCCCATCTGAATAACCTCTCTGCAAGGTTTGAACGTGACGATCAGGCAAACAAGCTTTCACCAGTTGATGTGTTTGTTGGTACAGTTGATCCTCTGTAGGAGTCTGATATCATCAGTGCCAACACTGTCCTCTCTATACTTTCTGTGGACTACATTGTGGACAAGGTTAGCTGCTATGTATCAGATGATGGTGCATCAATGCTTCTGTTGATACATAATCAGAGACAGAAGAGTTTACAAGGAGGTCTATGCCCTTCTGCAAGAAGTAGAAGCTGGTTCTCGACACTTCAGAGCCTTACTCTACCCGTATCTCACTCATTTTCCTCGGAAACATACTCCATCTCCTGTTTCTGTTTCATTCTAATCCATAAACTATTCCTACATACTTGGAAACGAAATCATTTTGGTAGAAGAGATAAAAACTTACTACTAAAATGGATAATGGCTTCTGAAACACCCAATAATTCTGTATGTATACTTGGGGAGGGCTGGTGAACTTGATGTCGAAGGCGAAGAACTGCCTAGGTTGGTGTGTCTCTCTCGTGAGAAGATACCCAAACACCTGATCTTGGAAAAGAAGGTCTACTATGTCCAATTCCCACAGAGATTCGATGGCATTGACTGCCATGATCGATATGCCAATTGTAATGTGGTCTTCTTTTGATGTAAGCTAACAGAGTAATAAAACTCAAAAACTCAAACTTGTAAACTAGCCGTCTAGCCATTATGTAACTTAGATGAAATTAATACTACAATTTCGAACTCTTCTATGCATAGTTATAGGCGAAAAATCCATGTGATTTATGTGCTTGGTTCAACATGAAAGATCTAGATGGGATCCAATGGTCGGTGTATGTTTGAACTGGATGTGCGTTCAACTGCTAGGCTCTCTACGGTTATGACCCCCTAAGATCAAAAGCACCCAAACATGACATGAGACTTCTGTCTGTCTTGGTGCTGCTGCTTTTGAGGTGGCTCGCGGAAACCCAAGGCAAAGAAGAAAGATGGAGAACAAAGATTGAAAGGATTTTTCAGAGAAGAAGAAAAAAGATATAATGCATTGCATTGAAATTAAGATAACAAAGATAAACAAATTTTTGTTGATAATTTATTGCAGAATAAGGTAAATCAGTGAAAGATATTAAGCTGCATTACAACTGTAAGTAAAAGCAAATAGGACTTGCATAAGCAGCAAACTGAATGCAAAATAAGATGTGTATTGCAGATATTTAAAATAAAAAGATTTGCACCATCGACAACATATGACCAACGTAAACTGCACCATCATATCATCCAAAAAAGCATTCACCCATTGCATCTTATAATCTAATTGGTAGTATCATTGTAATACTTGACAATTGATTTGCACATAAATTATTTCACTATGGCAAACCTGTACTATAGAAGATAAAAGAACACATACTAATCTGAGGCTCTAATTTACAGTGTTTTGAGTTAAAAATGTACACGTAACAGATAATCTATTTCCCTATGAAAGTAAATACGAGCACGCTTTAAAAATGTCACCTTGGGCATTGCAGTTTAGTATGTATGGGTGTTCTATCCAATGGCATCGGAAGGAAATGTATTTCGAAAATTATCAAATCAAAACCACAAGACCTTACAATCTATGATGTTGAGAAGAAGAAAAAGAATTATAAGATGGGTTTTTACCTGGAGTTTGATGGATCTTCTCCTTCTCTCCACTTTTCCTCTATCTCCAACTCTCCCTGCTATCTATTAAGCCGGGACGAAAGAAAGAAAGAGCGAGTTCTGGTCCCGGGACCTCCGTCATAACCATTCAAGGAAAGAATACAAGAAACAAGCGTTAGTGTGTCACATCTGTGTTCCTTACAAGGATCAAAGCGACTTAAACATTTGGCAAACAGCGTACGCTCGGTCTAGAGTGTAAATTGTTCTTGAAAGTCCTCTACAAAACCACACTGGAGAGTGGAGGACTGGAGTGGAGATCAATACCATAGCACCCAACTATGGAACTATTTTAAACTTTTCATGATAAAAATCAATTGAGTTACTTAAGGCTCTTCAAAGCTCTTAAAAACTACAGGTTTCTCGGATTACCTGAAGCTCAAATTGTAAACAAGAATGAGATCTAGCAAATTCCGGTAACCATACCTTCAAATAAAACCACAAAAGCACGGAGTCAGACTAACAAAATAGTTCGGAAACAAATTTCCTTTTAGCAAAAGATGGGAAAAAAACTCACCAAATCTGTAACGAGCACATTACACGTCACCAACATCAACAGGACAAATTCTTCATGTACCTAACGAAAGGTCAATAGAGCAATATCCATGAGGAAACTTCAAGGTAATGTAGAACCCAACTGTGCCAAAAAGAATAATGATGTGTTAGGAGCTTAACTTAAAGAGACGGAGAGAACTGAACAAACAACTATGTAGCACGAGGAATGCTGGTGACAATCTATACTGCGGTACGTGTTGTTAAACATGCATATCTTGTATACTTTTAGAATTCACCATTTATCACGTCCGTGATCATGTAGAAAATGCACCAAGCATTTTATGGTACAACAAATTCAAAGAAATCACCAGTCACTGTTTTAAACTCTTCAGGTCGTCTTCAAGTCGACACCATTGCTCGCGTCACTGTCCGGACAACACCATCGTCATCATCGCCGCTCAGTTCATCATCGTCGTCGCTCAGTTCGTCGCACCATTTGCGCCCTCTCGTCGCTACTCTCGTCATCGTCGGATCAAGCACCCTCTCGTCGACCTTCGTCCGCGTTGTCGTCAGAGCTCTTTTCGTCGCCGACCGCCATCGTCCTCCGTCATCATCGAACGACGATCGCCTCCTCTTCCCTTCGGATCGAGGTCACACTGAAAGAGGCCCTTCGGATCTGTTTATTTTGATCAGACCCGACCATACTTCATGTGGGTCTGATTTGCTTTGGCTCACACCCGAACCGGGTTTAAGTGGACCTGATTTCCTGCTTAGATCCAACCCGCAGGCCCGTTAATGCTTCACATTTGATTCATAGCTGGTTCAGTCCGATCGTTTTCTTTCGACTAGATATTTTTGCTGTTAATTTCAATTTATTAGTTAATTACACGAGTAACACATCTCTAAATTATTATCATATATTCACTGCTTAGTTCATACTTGTGAGTCGAGAGTAACTGAACATGTGACTGTTACAATTCTGATATTGATTTTAGAACTTTGTAAAATGATAATGAATACTGCGATTAAATTATTTAAGATTGGATTTGTTCATGATTATCATTACAAATCTTGTTAAAATCCATCTGTCACATTAATTATTTGAAATTAATTTCCTACCGAAGATCATGAATTTTGGCGAGACGGTGCCTTGTTTAATTTAGATTGCTGATTCCGATAGGCCCCTTGCCCTATTTCGCATCACTTTGGGAGTCGGTTTTATGAATCCCTAAGTATCTATTCATCAATGCATTACAACTCAATTACCAAAACCGAGTAAAACCATCCATGCAGAATAAAAATGTAGATGATTTATATGTAATCTCATATGGCACTTTGAGAGCTCATCTCCCGGTTAAATAATAACAGAATCCAGAGCATTAGTAAGAAAGAATGAAGGCTGTTTTAATCTAATTATAGAATATAAGATACCAATTAAGAAATCTGCAGACACTTCTCAGCAAAGTAATTTCTCTGCCAAACAAAATAACGAGAAAAGGAAATGTAGATCAGATCAGAACAATTACAAGGTATTTAGAAAGAAAAACAAGCACAAAAAAATGGAATTAGTCTTTTAGGTACTGTTTGGCAAAGGGTTTAATACTCCTATTTAGAAGGATTAAGAGTTAACCCTTCTAATTATAAAGAAAATAGTCAAAATTATTGTTATTCCTAAACACTAAAACTGATTATAAGGAATAAAATAAAACTTATTAAACGGGTTAATAATTTAGTCCTTCAGATTATCGAATGGGCTAAGTACATTAATCTTTCTTTTTAACCCCTCTTCCTTAACCTTTTGCCAAACAGGGCCTTATGTAATTCAACAAAGCCGAGGATAATACGGCATCACCTCCCCATTTGATAGGCACCCTTCCATCATCATCATCATCATCATCATCTCACTCTCTTTAATTCAAACCAGTTAAAAGTACAAAATCTATAACTTATAAATGGCGTAGTGATCTCCCAAAAAACACCCTAAAAGTTTGGAAAAATACAAAAAAACACCCTAAAATAATCAGACTTTTACAGAATCATGCCTAGAAATATCAAAACTTTCAAAGAGTACAAAATCTATAAGTTTTAAATATCACCATGGAAAAATTGAAATTTGCAAAATGACATCTAAAAGTTTCAAATTTGCAAAATATGCCCTCTAAAAGTCAAATTTTATAACAACATGCCCTAGAAATATCAAAACTTACAAACAGTACAAAGTCTATAACTTATAACAACAACGTATTGCAAAAAACACCATGAATGTTTTAAAATTACAAGATACACCCTCAAACAATTAAATTTTACAGAAACACACCCTCCTAAATATCAAATTTTACCAACTAAACAAAATTTATAACTTATAAACGGCAAAGACAAATTTTTGAAATTTAACAGAACACTCTGTGAAAGTTTCAAATTGTAAATACACCCTCGAATCAAATTTACAAAAACACACAACAAAATATCAAACCTTTAAAATAGCGCAAACTCTATAACTTATAAACAACAACGTGAAAATTTTGAAATTCGTAGAAAACACCCTTGAAGCTGAAAAATCACTGGATGCAGTACAAGGAAGCAACCAAATTTCAAGACACTTTGTATGCGCGCTATGGTCAACAGTTCTATCGAGAGTGCAACATCTCGGACACTGTAGACTTTATCTTCGGTGATGCCTCCGACGTCTTCCAAAACTGCATGATCTACGCCAAATTGCCAATGCAAGAGCAAGACAATACCATCACAGCCCACGGTCGTAACAAAGAAAGCGAGGCTACAGGCTTTTCAATGCAAAATTGTTCCATCTTGTCGTGGCACGACCTTGTTGCCAGCAACGGGTCAGTCAAGACGTACTTGGGTTGACCGTGGAGGAATTACTCAATCACGGTGTACATTAGGTCGTATATGGACAGGATCGTCGATCCAAGCGGATGGAGGAAGTGGTCAAATGGCGACAATCCGGCATTGTACAAGGTGCACTATGGCGAGTACGCAAATTATGGGCCGGGAAATGGGACACAACAGACAAGGATAAATTGGCCAAGATTCCACTGGATGCAGTACAAGGAAGCAACCAAATTTCGAGTTTTTCAGTTTATAAATGGTAGTCATATGTGATTCTTATGGAAGGCAGCCACTGACTCCCATTTATAAACTGAGAAACTCAAAATTTGGTTGCTTCCTTGTATTGCATCTAGTGGAATCCCGACCAATTTATCCTTGTTTGTTGCGTCCCATTTCTCGGCCCATAATTTATGTACTCGCCATAGTGCACCTTGTACAATGCCGGATTGTCGCCATTTGACCACTTCATCCGCTTGGATCGACGATTCTGTCCATATACGAACTAATATACACCGTGGTTTAGAAATTCCTCCACGGCCGACCCAAGTACGTCTTGACTAACCCGTTGCTGGCAGCAAGTTCGTGCCATGGCAGGATGGAACAGTTTTGCATCGAAAAGCATGTAGCCTCGCTTTCACTTTCACGGCCTTGGGCTGTGAAGATATTGCATTGCTTTTGCATTAGCAATTTGGCGTAGATCATGAAGTTTTGGAAGACGGCGGAGGCATCACCGAAGATAAAGCTTATAGTGCCCGAGATGTTGCACTCTTGATAGAATTGCTGACCATAGCGCGCATACAAAGTGTCTTGATATCCGTCAATGGCACACCGGTAGAATGCGACGAAACCAACGTCGACGCGCAGCGCCACCACCTGGCCCTTGGATGCACCAGCTGTGTTCTTGAAACAGATGTCTTGGGCTATAAAGTCTCGGTCCGAGATGGCTGAAATTAATGGAAGCATGGTTAGACAACTAATTGACCTAATCATGAAACTGAGTACACCACTACTGCTAACTAATGTATCATAAAACATCTTTCAGTGTAGAGAAGAGATGCATGATTAGTAATGACTGAAACACACACCATAAACATTACTACCTTATTAATTATGCATAAAGTTATTAACCAGTAACATCGACTTAGAAGCCAAAAGTTTTTGTCAAGCATAGATAGGATTCTTTCTACTAATTTGCAATCTATGTTAAAGTTTAAAGAGAAGCGACTCTGACATACCATACAAAAGATATCCAAAGGTGATGTATAAGTGTGATTAGTGATGATGAAATTTTATCAAGGAAACCATATTGAAACAACTACCAACTTTTTTAACTATGCATAAGATTTTGAAGCCAAAATTGTCGAGTTAGTAGTCAAAATCTTTGCACAACACAAGATAAGATTCACTTAACATTAATTCACAGTTAAATTAAAGTCTTTCAGAGTATGAGAAATAGTTACTCATTATCATTCACATTATAGACATTTTCAATGTATAAGTAGATTCAACCATGAATAAGTGCTGCACTAACAGAAAACTAAACTAAACATGATCAAAATGAGTTCATATTATAGACATGTTCAACTACTGTACTTCAGCCCCACTCAAAATCAAGCTCGCAGGAACTAAAAATTCAACCTTTACAATTCACCCTCGCGAAAAATCATAACTTTAAGAAGTTAAGACACAAAAACTACACACCCAAATCGAAATCCAAACCAAACTCGTTAGTGAGCATAATGTTCAGATATAATATGCAATTCTGAGCTCCATACAGAACAAAAATAGGACATGAGAATTTCGAAAACTTACACCATTTTGAAGAAATCGTGAATGTCAACCCTCTCAATTTGTTCGAAGCAATGACTTGGGGGCTAAGGCTACGGCGAAGAGGAACTTGAGAAAAAGGCCAGGTGAAGAGGTCGAGGCGGGCAGCGACTACTCGCCGGCGGCTGCGTAGTGGGAACGGGCGGCGAGGCGTGGAGCGGCTAGTTGGGGCGGAGGAGAGGAGGAGGGGGGAGGGTCTGGCCAGATCTGACGGCTAAGTGGGCTGACGCGGGCGTGGAGGGCTGAGGGCAAGGCGATCGGGGCTGAGTCGCGCTGAGATCGAGGACGAGGCTCGGGAGGCTGAGAGCTCAAGGGGAGAGGGCAGGTAGTTTGTGTGTGTGGGGGTAGGGGTGGGGGTGGGGGGTAGTTTGTGAAACGGAGGGCACGTAAGGGATATTGTGGGGGTAAAGTTTTTTGAGGCTGAGATTTAATTCCGAGTAAATGGGAACACATGGTTCAAATCGTTCCCTCCCGTAGGGAAATATTGTGGTAACGCAATGACATATTCCGCAATGGGTGTAATATGGATCTAAGGTGACTCCTTTAGAGCTCATCTAAGGATTGCGAGTCAAGGTCGTTGGTTTCAAAAACCCCTAAATACATTCTGGCCGTCTGTTCGAAAAAACACCTCATTTTTCTCATCTCCCCGAGCTCAGATTCTTGCCAGCTCCTCCCCGCTTCGCTCTCCACTGCCCGATAATCGCCCGCCGGTCGGAGCTCGCGCCAGATCGTCAGCCTCGCCGTTGCTCCTCGCCCTCGCCCTCGACATCCCCTCGACCTTGCCATCATCTCCCCCCTCCTCCTCTCCACCGCCCGAAATCGCCAACTCCGGAGCTCACCGCCCTCTACATCCCCTCGACCTCGTCGTCCCCTCACCCCCGCTCAGCCTCGCCCTCGCCATCAGCCTCTCCATCAGATCTAAGTTGACGTCGTTGCCGGTGCTCGTCATCTCGAGCCCGCGAGTTCATCATCTCGAGCTCGCCGTCGTCGCAAAGCCCTCGCATTCTAGCTCAGACTCGCTCTCGCCGTCCCCTCGCCCCCACTCAGCCTGCCCTCTGCACTCGAGCTCACCGCCGTCGAGCTCGCCCACGTCGAGCTCATCTCTCAGGTCTCCGCAAAGCCCTCAATAATAGTTATGGAATTTTTAACTTGTAATTCTTATTGATTTTGTGATATGAATTATGAATATGATCATTTGAAAAAATGTATAATAGTGGGCATTATATTTGAGTTTAGATTTTGGGATAGGTTTATTGTTAAATTGGATATGAACTTTAAATTTGGTTTGAACTATCGTAATGAAACTCTTTAGTGAAATTGAAGGATCAACTTGATGACGATTTTCTCAAGATTTTGAACTTCTTATATGTGATAATTTGATAGCTTGTATGGACACTCTAACAATTCTTTCACATGATACAACAATGGATGAAGATGAAAATAAACTTATAGCCATTGGCCTTGAAGGCGAGGACCATGATCTACTATCTACAACAAGTTTTTTCTATCAGGTGATAATATATTATTGTTTATAGTATACTAGTAACTAATCACATATACCAAAATAGTTGTCTTTTAGCATGAGTTTTATAAGTTTTGTTTCTCTATTTTTACAGGCATCCGAGCATGAGGAGAATGGAGATGAGCCTATTGGCGTTAAAAATTACGAAGGTAATTCTGTTGTTGATCCATATATCGGAATGGAGTTCTCTACTCATGATGAATGTTATAATTTCTACAATGCATATGCCAGACTTAAGGATTTGGTGTTCGCGAGGGTCATACAACTTGGTCAAGAAAAAAAGATGCAATCAAATCTAGAATCTTTGTATGTGACTGTTTTCGGTAAAAGTTGCCTTCATTGCTGAATTCATTATAATATTAATCGTTTATAAAGAATTCGAATTTTAACAAAAGAAAATAAAAGATTACAACTTTCTCGAAAATAACGCTAGATCCGTTCGTCGTTTCTTGCTTGTGTGGGTCTTTAACCGGTGACGGGGACGTCGGTATCCGTGGACTACCTGACAATCAGATCAGATCCAGAACTCCGTCGATTCGCGAAGGAATCTAGAAGCAGAAGCGCTTATCTCGGCAACGGCAAGATAATTGCTCTTCTTAAGATTATCGCAACGGGATAATCCTAAGGAACGGACGCGGGTGATGCGGATCTGAAGAATCTCTCTCTCTTGCGTTGAAGAACTCGATCAATCTTCAATCCGGCAGGGCTTCGCCAATTCTCCAAAATTCCAGCTCCTTAGTGATGTTATCAAGACACAACGAGTACTCTAAATCATCATTTATTGCAATATCTTCGGCAAGTTGCCAGTTACAACTACTTTTTGATGATTCTTCATCGTCAAGATTGATTACAATGGGTACAATGTCATTAAGTACAAAAACACCATCATAATCAAACCCAGCTTCGGTATCAGCTTCATCTCTGCTGTCCGTTCCTTAGGTCGATGGTTCAGTATCGGATTCGGCACCGTATAGAAGGGAATCGGTGAAATAGTTTTCCAACCCCTTAAACGGTTGCTTATCCGCGACCACCGTCTTGACTTTATTATTAGTGTCCACATATTTGAGGCACTGATGAAGAGTTGACGGGACTATAAGATTACCGTGGATCCAGGGTCGACCCAACAGTAAGTTATAGGATGTTTCCGCGTCAATCACATAGCAGGTGACTTCTGACTTCAAATCCCCGATCTGGCATTTTACTCGAATCTTTCCCAATGGTCTAGACCCACTGGTGTTGAATTCGTAGATCGTAGTGCCCGTGGAAGCTAGCTTACTAGCCGGTATTCCGAGATTATACATCAATCGGAGTGGCATGATGCTGACAGCGGAACCCGGGTCGACTTGGATCCGGTTGACAACGCTGGAGCCAATATGTCCGGTGAAGTACAAGGGTCGGTCATGCTTTGAGTTCCTCGTCTACATGTCTTCTTTGGTAAAAGAAATGCAGGGAAAATGGTGTGCCGCGAGATTGCAGTGTTGAACCGACGGCTCTGGTTCTTCAGGAGATGGCTTGATCCGAGTCAGGAAAACTTCAGAATTGGACAAGACCTCTTGTAACGCTTCCCTTGTGTCCTTTGAAAGACGCAACAATTCATACAGCGTTATTCTAACCGGTATATTAGCTAGTTGCGCCATAATATCGAAACGAGGTAGAGAGCTTGAAGTTCCCGGTTTGTCTCTCTCAATCGGTAGATTGAACCGAGACTGCTTCGGGTTTTGGACTTCCTGGTGTAGAGGCTCTTTCCCTTTTTGCTTTTGTTGGGCTTTCTCCGCAACTACGGGTGCAGGGGGAATCGCGATCACCCCCATTTCCGCCAATGTCTTAGAGGGAATAGCTTTGGTCACCCCCTGTTCAGCTAACTGCTCGGAGGCATCCGGATATTTGAAGTGGTACTCATTCCCGCTCCTGGTAGTAAAGGCCTCCTGCTCATCTTCGAATAATGGGAAAGTAGGAATACTTTCGTCATCTCCTTCTGGAATGGCTGCGGCTCCACAACAAGACTTACCTTTTCCTTTTGACTTTTTCTTAGAAGAGCTTCTGGAATGGCTGCGGCTCCACAACAAGACTTACCTTTTCCTTTTGACTTTTTCTTAGAAGAGGATCTGGTCCATTGTTCATGTCCAATTAGATCGGGGTGAACCCAAAGAATCTCGCCATTTGGAGCTGTGTGTGGTACAAGTCCTTTCTGGCGTTGCTTGTGAGGATCGTCGTTCACTCACTACAACAAATTGCACTTTTCCCGACGCTTATTCCCGACACATGGTAAAATACGTCGCCAAAAACTATGTTTTTCCCGACGATTTTAGTTAGCGTCGGCAAAACATATATTTTTCCCCACGTTTATAATTAGCGTCGCTAAAAGTGTATATTATTTGCGACGTTTTAACATAGCGTCGGTAAAAGTGTATGGATTTCCCGACGTTTTTTCATTTTCGTCGGCAAAAGTATAGCTTTTAGCGACGTAAAAATATTCGTCGCAAAAAAGTATACATTTGGCGACGCACGTTAGCGTTAGCAAAAATGTAGCTTTTAGCGATGAATAATTTTACGTCACTAAAAGTAAACACTTTTGCCGACGCTATATTGCGTCGGCAAAAATATAGCTTTTAGCGACGCAAAACTATTGCGTCGCCAAAAGCTATACTTTTACCGACGCTTTACTATTCATATGCGTCGCCAAACACAACCCCCCTCCCTCCTCTTTTTTTTTCATTTGCCCGCCTACTTTTCATTTCCTCCCCCCTATTTTTTCATTTTCCGCTGAGGCAAAACTTTTTCATTTCGCTGCCCTAGCAATCCTCCTCCTCTTCTCAATCGCCGAGATCTCTCTCGCCTCCGCCAAGAAACCGGCGGCCGCCGCCGCTCGAAGAGAAGACTGGAACCCTCCGCCGCTGTCGCTGATCAACCCGTTAAAATTGTCCAGGCCAAAACCGAGCCCAGCGGCGACCAGCACTCTCACTCTGCGGACTACGCTCCCTACCCTAAGCTCGACCCCGCTGACGTGGCTCCTCCCCCTCCGGCGACGGACACGGCGGCGAGATCCGCAACCGCTGGTGATTACCAGGCGACCACCATGCCGCCGGAGTCCAACCCATACGTCACTCCCTCTCCCGCCGCCGCTTCATCCTCCTCGAAGAGTGAGCCCCTTTGCGATCTCTTTAATTTCAGATCTTTGATTGAATCGGCCTGTTAGGATATTTTTTGTGATTGGTTTTTAATTTAGGGGTTTACGTTTGATTGAGTGTTGAAACTGTGATTGGATCCTGTTGGGGCAGTAAAAGATGCGCTCGGGAGGTGGGGGAAGATGGGGGAAGCAGCGAAGAAGACCGAGGATTTGGCTGGCAACGTTTGGCAACACTGTGAGTATTATCTGCCCTTGAGATAGTTTATTCGTGATTTCTCTGGATTTTTTTTAATGGTTAATTGTAGAACTTGATGATGGGCTTAGTTTGTTCTGTATTTCTAGGTCAAGATTAACTGAATTGTTTTTACATGCAATCTGATTACTAGATTTCTTGATCAGTGTACTTTTGGCGCTTCATGGATGCAATTTTGTGGTGTAAGCTTGTAGTATCGCACTTGGTGCGGTTGGTTATAGTTGCAATTTACCTGCGGACAGAAAAATATTCTATGCTTTTGGCTTATGAATGATACGAAGACAATTTCCTTTATGATAATAGGCAGAATTGATGCATGTAAAGAAAAGACATCATCATGATGTTCTTTATCTATGATCAATTGATAGGTTAGTTGAGACATTGGTTTACACTAAGAGATCGCCTTGTGCTTGGTCGCAGCTTACTCCATGTTCCCCTTTTTTCTCCTTCCTGTGGTTTGCTCCTCCTTACACTCTAATGTGCTTCCCCTCCATTCTCTTTATCTGGATCAAAATGTCTCAAATGCACTAGGTGATTTCTCTTATAATTTCTCATTTTTGATTTGAAAACTTCAGGTCGAAAGGAGGCAGAGGCAGGAGTTTATAATGTATTTGTTGGAGAGGATCCATTCTTATATGGTTTTGTATGATCCACTAGGCGGAAGTCTGAATCATTTCTTTAGCTAATAAAATGTTTTTGTAGTACTTCTGTAAGTTCTTACTTCTTAGGTACTTTTTTTTTGCTGATTTTTTCTTAGATGCTGGACAAAAGTATCAACCAACATTTGTTTTGTTTTTCCTTTTGGTTTTGCAGGGCTATTCTGGTGATTATACACGGCCTCAATGAACATAGGTAAGATTGCATACA